GGGGGGGGGGGGAGGGGGGCAAAAAAAACAGCACTTTTTTTTTCAAAGTATTAGAAAAGAAAAGAAATCAAAAAAATAAATAAATGAAATCTTTTAATTTGACGTTTTTCAAGGAACCGCGGGATGGGTGGGAGAAGGGGAGAAGAGGAGAGGAGATGGAGGAAAGAAAAAAAAAAGAAATTTTCTTGTTTTCATTTTAGTGAAAATTTAATGCAGATATTTTGTTTAATAAACAGTTTTAATCATTCAAAAATTAAGCGATCAAAAAATTTTTTTTTGTCTACATTGAAGTACATAACGGACAACGGTTTGATGTTTAATCCTTTAAATTTTCAACAAATGTAATAGTTTTATGGTTTTTTTGGTAACAATGAATACTAAATGTATTTTTCCTTTTCCTTCGTTTCCCATCTCTCCGCCTCTCGTTCTTCTTTCGATGGTTATTTTTTGAAAGCGGATACGATAGAAGAATGCTTAAACAAGAGCAAAAAAAAGGAAAAAAAAAAAAGAAAAAAATTATCATAAATAAAATAATTATAATATAACTTGTAAAAAAAAATTGCTGAAAGTTATCAACATTGCTGTAAACAGATCGTCGGTTATCGATCATACGAACTCTGATCTGTTGCTTCAAGTACATCTGGAGCATCTGTGAGAGCACAAAGACGACTACAAAAAAGAAAAAAAAAAAAGTTCTATTTTCAATCGTGTGATTTAATCAAAACAAAACCAAAACGAAAAAAAATTGAAGGAAAAAAGATGGGTATTTATGATTGAAAAATATAGAGACAATGATCAAATTATTCAGTTTTCTTTTTTCTTTTTTTTTTTAATATGGTTAAACACAGTATATATCGGTGGACTACAGATCTATGAATACTGCATAAAATAGTAACAACAATATTATTGAGTAGAAAAGGTGATATCTGTGCAACACAGTAAATACCCTATGCAACAGTGTTGCGCACAACTGATACCATTGAAAAGTTCAAGTTTTTTGTTTTTTCTTTGCTGTTTTTTTTAGTTATCCTTATCAATGGCCTGCATAATATCAGTTTATAAATCTTATTAAAAAAAAAAAATTTTAAGTTCAAGTGTAGGAGGCTACAACTTTTATAAACCAAAGATAGAAATAAATTTTTTTTTTTTGGCTTACAAAAGTTGTAGCCTCCTACATTTGAACTTAAATTTTTTTTATGCTTATAATAGAGAAGAAGAAAAAAATTCCAACTTTTTTTTTTGTGTTTAAACATAACAAAAAAAAAGAATTGATTTCTATTCGGCAGAAAATAGTTATTAACATTCTAAAAGTTTAGCTGATTTTCATCTTTTTTTTGTTTTTCTTTCTTTTAGTAGCTATTTAATTGAGCACAATAAACGCTCTTTTATTTTGTTCCTTCTCAACAGTTAATGATGTGGATGATAATGAGCAAAGAACAGTTAATGCTTTCATTTATACAGACACTATAAAGCCTTCAAAAAGAGAGAAAAAAAAGTTTTTTTCCATCTATGTATTTATTTTTTGATCTTTGCTTATTCGGTCTATGTGCCGTATAAATA